CAAGAGAGAGAATGTTACTTGAGTGAGAGAAAAAAGGAATTAAAGACTTGGGTGAGGATTGAATTTGAATAAAAGATTGAGCTTGGGTAATTAAGTTGGTAAGCCTGTTTACATTGAGGTACAATTTAGGAAGTTTTACATAAAATCCTTTTGATTTTTGATTGGCCTACCCGTAATACTTATTTCACTTCCCATTTCATGTTATCTTCATCTTCTTCCTTTCCTCTTCCACCTTCCTTTCAATTTTCATGGTCAGTGTAACGACCTTAACTTTCAATTTTTCTTCTATCCAAGTAAAGTAAACCTTGCTTGAAATTCATAATTGAAAACATTTTGGTGCTATTGGTTTTAGAATTCATCAAAAATTCTTGTTATAGGTGAAGGAGTTCTAAAAAGAGTGTAGAAAAAAGAAGTCTTAAAGAGGAGGCTCAAAGCTTTTGGAGTAAAGGTTTGATATCTCTTGTTATTTTTCATTTTCTTTGTATGAAGATTTGGTGTGGTGTGTTGCTATGAGACAATCTTGCTTTATGTTGAGTGGGAGGACTGGTAATGGGTGAGAAACAGGGGAAAACAGGAATTTGAATAAATGAAGTAAATAGTGAGTTAATGTTGAAACAGGTTTTGCTGGAAATTTTAACCAGTAACTTCATCTTGTTTTGAACGCCCATTTGGTGCATTACGCGCTCGCGCTTGCAAGGCGCCGCTCGCGGACTTGTGTTTTCATGCATTTTTGGAACTTCTTTTTCAAATGCAAATTGTATTCCCTTTGCTTCACTTATATGCCTCCAATCATTTTAACATCAAATACAGACTTAGAACATGTACAAAACAAATTCAAGCATGCAAAGATGGTGAAATCAAATAACATTATGAATTATGAAGTTATGAACTATAAATATGAATGTTTTGTTATAATTATTTACAATACAACATTATGCTCAATTGCAGGTAGGTAGAAACATCGTAGATAAGGGCTATGTCGGCGAAAATGGATAGCAGATCTGACCCTCATACAGTTTGATAACTCCGGCTACAGGCCGTTGAGTGGGATATGAATTATATATGGCCATAGCAGCCAAGCAATACAGTATTCATCCAGTTTCATACAGTTTTTCTTATACAGTATTCATCCAGTTTATACAGTTTTCTTATCACCTCGGTTTCGCTATAACCTTATGGAGCCATACAGATTTCATGACTCATACAGCATAATAAACAGCAAGTATCATGCTATATGTGCTTATATGCTTAATTATCCAGATGCGTTTACATGGTTATTTCTATACATGTATGTGCTTTATTCTTTCTTTTTATGTTGAGATATCCACTAAGCTTTCTTTGCTCAGCGAGTTACCTGTTTAACTCGTAGGTTTTGAGACTGGTCTGTAGAGGGTCCGTTTACAACTGCTGCAGTTCATCTGTAGAAGACTCGGTCTTCAGGGTAGATACTCTTGTTGATCTTTTATGGCATGTACAGGGCACATTTAATGGGCATGTACAGGGCACACAGTTGGGCCATTTCATCTTGTAAACTAGTAATCATGTCTTGTAAATATACTACATTGATTTTTGTATACAACATCAGCATGCTATTTATATTCAATACAATTATGATTCAGCATGTCAGGCCATACAGTCACACACAGTTTGTAGCGGTCTCGGTCCGGTTCATCGGGTTTTACAGGGTGGACCGGGAAGGGGTGTTACAGCTCTTGTGATTGGTCCCACGGGTAGAGCCTAGAGGATCCTTCACACCTTGCTTCGCTTAGCGTCTCGGTCCGGTTCATTCGGGTTTACGGGTGGACCGGGAAGGGGTGTTACAGCTCTTGTGATTGGTCCCACGGGTAGAGCTAGAGGATCCTTCACCTTGCTTCCTTGATCCGTATCATTATGAAACGTTAGTCTCCCTAGCGTTTAGCATTTTATAAATTTTTTATGACGCTTATATCATCAGTTGTTTTTGACTTGTTCCCCACTGTAGCAATATTTGTTCATACCTAACAGCTAATGTTATGGACGTTATGGCAGATGTGGAAATTATGAAATTAAGTAATTAGATTATTAGCTTAAATAAGATTCAATAAAAAATGGATTCCTAATTAGAATAGGATCCTTAGAATTAGTTGGATTATTAGCTTAAATAGGATTCAATAAAACATAGATTCCTAATTAGTATAGGATCCCTTTTAGTTAGTTTATTCCTGAATAGACTAAACTTCCTATTTATAATTTCCTAATTTATCATTGTAACCACTATTTAAAGAGGTATTATTATCATTAATAAAATTAGTTAGAATATTTTCCAAACATGAGATTGGAGCTCTCTCTAATGAGATCCAAAAGTGTCAAGCTCCCTTTGATGAGTTTGAACATAATTCACAATAGGTTGCTCAAAGAATTGTAATAAGAAGCAGATTCTGGAACAGATTTTCCAGTGAATTGTCCTATGATAAGATCCTGGTTTCGAAAACATAAGAATTTGGTATCAGAGCCAAACACCATGGGCGATTAAGGATTGCGCGAGAAATTTGGTGGCAAAATCGGAAATAAGAACGAATGCACAGCTTCAATAATTATCTTAGCCGTTGGAAACTGCGTGGCAAAGGGCCAATTGAGGAAACAGATGTGGGGCACAACAATTTAGGTTAGACAAGCCAAGTGGAGTATAGGCAGCAACCATGAACGGAGTATAACGAAACTACCGGTGGCATCAATAGCAACGGAACTATGTCGCGTTATACTAAGCTCGATTTTCCTACATATGATGGCAATAGTGACCCCTAAATTTGGTTGCAAAGATGTGAGCAGTTTTTTGCTAATCAACAGACTACAGTAAAATGACCAAGTCATCCTAGCCGCCTTCCACATGTTTGGAGAAGCCCAACTATGGTATTATAAATTGTAGCAAGAAGAAACTAATCTCATGTGGAACAAGTTTACAAAATATTATACTCTCATATTTGGGCCACCCTTGCAAAGCAATCCGCTTGGGGACTTTAGTTAATTTAAGACAAACAAGGATAGTAGAGGGGTATCAGCGTCAGTTTCAGGGGCTATCAGCTCACGCAAATGAGGTGCATTATGATCAACAAGTGGATTTATTCACAGCTAGTCTACTTGACTCTATTTGATTAGAGGTTGAGATGCAATCTCTAGCCACCCTTATGCATGCAATGAACTTGGCCAGGGCTTTTGAAAAGAAGCAACAGCTGCCTATAGTGCCCCACCACCATGTACCACCTCTCCTTCCACCACCAAGGGCAACGCAATTCCTACACAATCCAATGCTTCTCTCCCTTTATTAAAAAATTAACAAAGACAAAAATAAAGGAAAGACGAGCCAAGGGATTATGTTACAATTGTGATGATCTGTTTGTTCCAGGACACCAATGTAAGAGGCTATTTTAGTTGGAATTTGATAGTACACCAAACTCATCCATTCAAGAACATGAGACAAAACCCACTTAAGGACAAGCTCGTCTTTTTAGAGGGAGTAATGTTATGGACGTTATGGCAGATGTGGAAATTATGAAAATTAATCAATTAGATTATTAACTTAAATAAGATTCAATAGAACATGGATTCCTAATTAGTACATGATCCTTAGAATTAGTTCGATTATTAGCTTAAATAAGATTCAAAAAAACATAGATTCATAATTAGTATAAGATCACTGCAAGTTAGTTTATTCCTACATAGATTAAAACTTCCTATTTTTATAATTTCCTAATTTATTATTGTAAGCTCAATTAAAGAGGTATTATTGCTATTAATAAAATAATTTAGAATATTTTCCAAACATGAGATCGGAGTTCTCTCTAACGAGATCCAAAGGTGTCAAGCTCCCTTTGACAAGTTTTAACATAATTCACAATAGGTCACTCAAAGAATTGTAATAAGAAGTAGATCGTAGAACTAGATTTTCCAGTGACTCATCTTTGATAAGATCCTGGTCTTGGGAACATAACAGCTAACTTGTAACACTAATGTCAATATTGCAGCTACAATTGCGGAACAGGTCCAAAGTCAATATCTTTTTTTGTCATTTTAAATTTAATAGCTAATCAAACAATTATTTACACTGAACACTTTCGCTTTAAACTACTTTATAAACAACTAATAGATAATATCTAACCGCTAATATTTATTAAAACCAGCTAACAACTATTAAAACGACCAGCATTCCTCCCATTATACAAACAAATGAATGAATACGAATAATAAAATTAGGCTCTTATAAAAATTAACTATCATTTTAGGGAAAAATATAATAAGATCCTTGTGGTTTGCGAAATATAATTAATCCATCATTGTCTTTTGTAAAATAGACTAAAATATCCTTATAGTTTACTTCCGTCATATTATAAGGTCCTTCTGTTTAATTTTTGTATTTTTTCCTGTTAAGTACATTATGAAATAATGAAAATACTATTTTTAAAAATACATGGACGGACTAGTTGTATTTTTTAAATTATAGAGACCGTACTGTAATTTATTTCAAATAATATTTTAGTATTACTCATTTGACTTCTGTATTTGTTGTTGACTTAACGGAAAAGGTATAAAAATTAGACAAAATGACTTAGTAGTGTAACAGAAGCAAAACATAGAAAAAATTGATATATTTTAAAAAAGACTGCCTTGAACTAGTTGTATTTCTAAATCGTAGAGATCACACTGTATTTTTTTCATTATTTTATAACAGTTTTACGAGAAAATCACAAAAAGACTGCCTGTTTAACTATTTTTTTCACTGAAGATGTTAACTGGATTGGAGAGGAAGAAAAAATTAATTACTATTGAAATGGGTTATTCTGTAATTTTGTACATTTATTTTATTTTTAGTTGAATGGGTTCGGTTCTGCAGACTATATCACACAAGTGAGACCAATTTAACGGAGTGGCTTGTTTAACACGTCCTTCCTCTTCCTCTGAAAGGAGAAGATAGATACGTCACAGAGCTCTCTCTCTCTCCCCCTTCTCCCTTTCTCGCCGGCCTTTTGCTGTCAGTCTTCTTTCGGTAAGAACCCTTCCCTGATTATTTCTTCTTTTAACTTTCTCGTTCGATCTAAAGTATTATTTTTGTGTATTAATTGTTATCTTTGCACATTATGATCGGTGTTATTGTTATTGGTATTTCTTTAAATAATATCTTCTGGTTTTTAATCTTCTTTTTTATTTGTTTAAAAGTGAAATTTAATTTGATATGGATGTTTATGGATTTTGATCAGTTGGCTCAATTCATTGTTACTTTAAATTGATGAGATGATGATGGGTCAAGGTTATTATGGTTATGGAGGAGCATCTTCACCTTCCTCTTCAAATTTATCGGCTTTAGCTCCTCCTTTTACTGTTGATCGGTCTGTACCAAAATCGGGGTCTAACCCTCTTGTTGATTTGACTGAACCAACTTATGCTGTTACCTTCAATTCCTCTTTGCATAATTGGGTTGGTGCTCACCCTCCTAGTTCTAGGCTTGATTACTTTTCCATTTCAAACTCTGAATTTGATTCTGTGCCTTCATCAAATGCATATGGATATTCTTCTTCCACTGCCCATGTGCCTCCTTTGAACCCTTGTGTTTCAGTTTCTGCCTCAACTAATCTTCTTGAAGTCAAACCATATTATCCTTCCTATGTTTCTCCTGCAATTGGAAGTGATGGTTCCTTGGGAGTCTCCCACCATTCTGGTTATGATTTATTGTCTACTACTCATGTTGCAACACCCAATGGTTCTTCTAATGATGATTACATCCAAAGTTTGTCTGGTATGGAGCATTTGGCCCAGTGGAGCGGCTTGTGGGAGGGACTTGTGGATTGGCAGCAGAGTGAACAGGTGCAGCTTGAAAGGAGTTTTTCCTCAAATGAGAATTTTATCGATCAAGGTATTCTTGCCTCATTATTTTTGTTATTATTGTGCTCAGAATTTTTTGTTATTATTGTGCTCTGAATTACAATTTTAGCGATTATGACTTCATGCATTTTGAATCTATCTATAATCTTCTTGTGTTTCTTGTGCAATAGGTAGGCAGTTTTATTTATATCGTATCTATGATCTTGTGTTTCATCTGTAATGTTATTATCTTTGTGATGTTCAATTTATTTTATTTAATTACTTTTCATTTATCCTTGTAGGCCTTGGAGTGATAATTATTCTTTACTTGCAATTGCAAATTATTATGAATGCTAGTCTTTTGTCATGTATATATTTTTGCACTTGGCAGAAATTCATGTTTAATTACAGCATTGCTTACCATTTGATCATGTTGCAGCCTAGTTCCCAAAAAATATCATGTGGAGCTTTCTGTAACTTTTTTTTTTCACTCGCAGGCCAATGAATTGTAACAACTTTCAACTTCCTTTTTCTTTTCTTTCTTTTTCATATAACTTCTTAATTTCATTTTGTTGTTTGTGGTTCTTAAGAATACACTGGAATAAAAGTAATCCAAGAGAAATTATGTAGGAGAGTTTGGCTGCTCATGTGGTATATAAACATATGTATTAGTCAAATCTTGTTTGGATATATTTTGGGGCTTCTGGGATGTAGTGAACTTTGTATTTTGGAGAATATCCTTAACATTGCAGCTAAAGGTAATGAGTGAATGTTCCAGAAAGCTCAATGAGACGACAAAAGCATGGTACTTGGTAATACTCTTCTAAGAAAAAATAAATTGGATTGTGTTGTTTGTTTATATTTTACTTTATTTGCTTTTGTTTGATCACTCTTCTTTTGATTTATTCTATTAAATCATGTTTCTATAGTCTATAAATCAGTCCATAATGTATAAAAAACACTTATCCATAATATAAAATACTTTTAGTTTTACATATGTAAGGAAATATATGAAAAATGTCATATATTGGAAATAAACAAGAATAACCATGTTTTCTAATATCCTCTTAGTATATGAAATTAGTTTTTATATAATTCAGGAAGCCATAAATGCACACAACTTAAGGTCTTTTCTTTGACCAACAATTCTCCACAAGGTGAATACTAATGAATTTAAGAAAGGAGGCCTAAAAATGAGGCTTTGTCTCCTGATCAATGGAGTATGTATAAGAATTTGGTTAGTCTATTCACTTTTTTCTACATTTTGAGGTGACTTGGCAACTTAAAATCATCTATTTAGCATGTAAAGGTAAGGTCTTTTTAGCATTTTGGTTTTATAAAGTCTTTGGAAAAATAGAAGTGCACATATGTTTAACAAATTAGAGTAAGTTTGTTGTGGTACATGGTGTTGTTTTTATTTTCAATGTGAGGCTTTCAAGGGGTTCCTTTTGACTGGTACCCAATTGGGTATTATTTGTTTAGTTTTTTTTATATTTATGTTCTTGTATGTAGTTGTCTATTGAGTTATGTAGGAGGATTCCTTGTCATCCATGGTGTATTCTTCTTTCTTTCTTTCTCAACAGTACTATGTTGACTATTCTAATAATATAAAAAATTATTAAAATCCCAGATTTTGCAGCATAATGGTAATGGAAATATCAATATCTGTCTCTGATATATTTTATTTTCTACCCATGGTTCTTTGTGTCTTGGCACAATTTTTCATGTTACAAATTATTAGTAATCCATAGACTGGATTGCGTTATCTAGATTGCAAATAGTGATGCTGCCATTTCTGGTAAACTGCATAAAATTGCACTTGCATCTGCTTGGAGTTGATTAAAGAGTCATTAATAATTAAAAGATGCTAGAATCCTAGTTAACCATGTTTCTGTAACCCATTACTGTACAAACCTTTTTTTTTATCTACATTGTTGGTATCTTCTGGGAAGTATATTGTGTGTATATATATGTCTAGTTCAGGAGACTTATTTGTCAGTGGGCATTTTCTTTGTATTATTTTTTCAGGGTTATATGCATCTGACAGCATGAGTAAATATGAAGAAGCTTCCCATAGCATTGATACAATTGGCGGGGACAACCATGCTGAAACTGTAGTAATAGAAAAGTTAGATTACAAGCCCTTCCTGGGTGAAAATCCCAAATTCTTACCTACTGAGTATTCTAAAACTTCAAGCTCAACATCTACTTTGCTAGTTCCAGAAAACTGTTCTCAGGCACCAGCCATAAAAGCTGTCAATTCCTGGAACCATCAAATGCCATTCGGTGCTTCATATGAAAAATGCTTCAGAAAGCATGATGCAAGTCCAAGTGATTTTGCAACAATCGTAAACTCTTCTTCCCCTGCTGTTGTCATTAGACCACCAGATACAAGTTCACCTAGAAATATGAACCCCGGAAATGATGAAGATGATAAAGATTTTGCTAGCAAAGATTCCTCTGTTGTAAAGGAGCCTCATCCATTTATGAGCTCCAAAGGGTATGTTTACTTTGATGCCAGCCAAGTCAGCTTCCATCTTCAACAAAATGATCAGGTTGCTGCTGAATTTTCCTCGGCAAAAAATGAAGAGCAATCAAGTAGTGGGGATGCTTCTGCAGATGCTTTGAATAATTTTGCAAAGGGAAAACCTGGAATTCAAGCTCCTCATAGAAGTCTAGATGGTTTCAATTTGGTAGTTGATAAAAATGAAGCCATCAATTCTGTAAAAAATCATTCTGAGAATTTAGATAATTACACCCCTGCTGTGGACTCTCCTTGCTGGAAGGGGGCTCCAGTTTCTCAATTTTCTCAGTTTGAAGTTTCTGAGGCCGTCACTCCACAGAATATGAAAAAGCTAGAAGCTTGTAGTGGCTCAAATCTTCAAAGCCATCAAATTTTCACTTTTAGTGCCAATGATGCTGTAAAGAGCTTCCCTGAAAAAACAAGCAAAAACTCAGTACACCATGATGCTTGGAGTTTAGGAAATCATTCAACTTCTTCTCTAAGAAGGCCTTTGGTTGCTAATGTGTTTCCTAGAGAAGAAATTGTTGATGCTGCGAAATCAGGACCCCAATATACAAACTCTAGTTGTTTCGAAGGGGTTCAAATTTCTGATGATGCTGTGTCTAACAAATCAACTGATAATTCTGATCACAAACCTCATAAAAACGAGCAACAAAGTTGTGAAGGTGCCAAATGGACATCTGGAAAAAATTGTGCACCAGGTTTTGGCGCTAACATCAAATCAACTGATAATTCTGATCATAGACCTCACCAAAATGAGGAACACAGTTGTGAAGATGCCAAATGGACATCTGGAAAAAATTGTGCACCAGGTTTTGGCGCTAACATCAAATCAACTGATAATTCTGATCATAGACCTCACCAAAATGAGGAACACAGTTGTGAAGATGCCAAATGGACATCTGGAAAAAATTGTGCACAGTTGTGAAGATGCCAAATGGACATCTGGAAAAAATTGTGCACCAGGGTTTGGCATTGACATTGAGATGGAAATGAATGACAACCCTGATGATTGTTCATCTCATGTTCCATTTGATGCCATAGAGCATGTGTTACATTCCCCACCTTTTGCAGATGATGTTCCTACTAAGCTCTCTAAATCACATGGAGAAGAATCAACACGGACGATGAATGTCAGAACATTGCTTGATACGATGCAGAATCTGTCAGAATTACTTCTATTTCATTTTTCACATGATGCTTGTGAATTGAATGAAGATGATTATGGGGTCCTTAAAGGTGTGATCAGTAATCTTGATTTGTGTATGCTGAAGAATGTGGAGACAATGACTTCACTACAAGAGTCAGTTATTCCTCAGAAAGCCAGTTCTCAACTTCATGGAAAGTCAGCTAAGCTTCAGAAGGTATGTCATTTCTCTATTGAAACCCATCTTATTAGTGTTAGAACTCACTGCCACAACATTCTTTGTTGGTAAATAGGGGAGAAGCTCTATTTTGTAAGAGGAGGAAATTGAAGGCTTAGTGATTGGCTCATTTATTTTATCAAATATGTAATAATAATAAGAAAAGGAGAGAGCTAGATAACAGAACAATTGCATAACATAACATTAGAAGTTTGACCTCCTTTAGAGTCATTTTAAAACTAGTTCCTTATGAAAGTGCCTATTTCAGTACATCTTGTTTTTGCTATTTTCTCCTTTTTAAGCCACCAAACGAGATACGCTTCTGCTCATTTAAATATATACTGGGAATATATTTATTAAACAAGAAAAAAGTATAAAATTGATGATTAATACACAAGCTTACTTGACAGCAGAATATTTTGAAACAAGATTGAAGCCTCTGATGTGTAAGATTCATTGAACGTGATAATAACTTTTACATAATCTATTGGCTTATTTATTTTTTCACATATGTAGTAATAATGAGAGAGTGTGCTAGATGACAAAACAGTTGCATAACATTAACATTAGAAGTATGAGCCTCCTTTATATAGCCATTTTAAAACTAGTTCCTTATCGAAGTGCCTATTTTAGTACCACTTGTTTTTGCTATTCACTCCTTTTTAAGCCACAAAGCTAGATATGCTTATGCTTCTTTTCTTTTTTTTTTTTTTTTTTTTTTTTTTTTTTTTTTTTTTTTTTCTTGTTTCTTATTTTAAAAAAAAGAAACAAAGAAAAAAAAAAAAAAAAAAAAAAAAAAAAAAAAAAAAAAAAAACACATTCTGGGATTATATCTGTTAAACAAGAAAAAAGCATAAAATTGATGATTAATACACAAGCTAACTTGACCGCAGAATGGTTTGAAACAAGATGGCAGCCTCTGAAGTGTAAGATTCATTGAATGTGATAAAAACTTTTACATTATCTTTGGTTGATGATGTGAGTTGTGTCCACAAATTGTGATAATGGCAAGATCATTAAATGATCCTGTTCCATATTTTTTTTATTCTTTTTTTCACACTGAATGATATTGTCCATTTTTTAGGCATTCTCCCTGAAATGATCATATTCTCTCATAAACCTTGCTTGAGATTATCCAAATATTTTATCTCTAAGATTAATGATGAATTGGTCAGGATATGAATGCGTCTTTGATTGATCCTCCTAATTCTGAAGCCCAGTTCAAGCGTCAGCATGTCCAGGACAATGAGCTAAATACAGTTCCTGATAAGAATGATGAGAAATTGCCCAATTTTGGTTCTTTAAGGGCTGCTGCGGACATATCAATAGATGATAACATGACCCAGGTATTCTTTTTGCTTTTATTTTAAGACAAATCAGTCTTGGAATTACTTTTTCCATATAGAAGACGCAAAAAAAAATGAGGCTCTTCACTGTGAGTTGAGATTTGCAGGCTATAAGGAAGGCCCTCAAGGAGAGTTTTCATGTTGAGGAAGAAACAGATCCACAAGTTATTTTGTACAAGAATCTGTGGCTTGAGGCAGAAGCTTTACTGTGTTCTGCTGGCTGTATGGCTCGCTATCAACGAATGAAGAGTGAGATGGAAAAATGTGACTCACAAAAAGTTACTGGTAAGGCTTTATCTGAAGGTCCTCGCTGTTTTTGTTCATTCAAAAAGTGTTGGGCCAAATTTCTTTCATTTTTTTTTTTTTTTTTTTTTAAAAAAAAAAAAATTGTTCTGGGGTTCGTTCTCAGTTTTACAAGAATATTACGCATTATGCAGAGAAATATTATTCAGGGTTTCTTTCATTTTTTTTTTTTTTTTTTTTAAAAAAATTGTTCTGGTTCTCCAGGTTTACAAGAATATACTGCATTTATGGAGAAATTATCAAGGTCTAAGGTTTCAACTGAACCAGGCATGAATAAGATGCTGGCATCTGATACTAAGGGTAGCCCTCAAACAGGTACTTCCATCCCGGAGTCATCTATCAAAAGCATGACCAAACATGAAGATGAAGTTGCTGCCCGATATCATATCTTAAAATGCCAAGCTGAGAGCTCTAATACTTTAAATACTTCAGGCGTGGACAAAACTATTGATTTTACATTGTTGCCTAGTTCCAAAATTTCTTTGAATCTGAACAACATCGACAAATTAGCTTGTGAAGAGAAAGATAGCCAAAAGCCTGACTTATCCATCCAGGATTCCCCCAAGTTAAGTACCAGCCAGGTAGATGATTTTGAAGATTCTGTTATGGCAAGATTCCAGATCCTCAAAAGCCGGGTTGAAAACGTGAATTCCGTGGATAAAGAAGAGCATCAGAGAGCAACTAATGATCTTGGATATGCAGGTTTGCGAAGGCATTGGCCAATGTGTGAACATGAATCAGAGGACAGAATTCTGAATGTAAATATGGAATCCGTGTCAGAAAATCATGCTGGTTACTCTACCGAAGACAAATTGACTGTCAAGGAATTCCGTCTATTTGTGAAGGATGATCCAATGAACAATAGGCCAGGGGATCAGTTTCATGATGGCTCTTCAGATTGGGAGCATGTATTGTTCGAGGAGCTTGCAGTGCAGAACTGTTGAACCCTGAATTACATCCTTGACACTCCTCAAATGGTTGATGATGGTATCTTTACTGTTACTAAATAACATGTATATATTGTTTGACTGGACATCCATTTTTTACTTGCTTTGAGAGTGTTGAACATGTAAAAAGCTTCCTACATATATATGGTTAAATATGTAAATATATATGTTCCAAATGTGGACAAAAGGGCTTAGGCTCGGTCTCTTTCTTCACTCTTTTCTTTCTTCAAATTTGGGGTCTGGTTGGTAAAATTAGCTATTTTGATAACAGTTAGTTATTTTAATAGCGTTTAGCTGTTTTAGGTAGCGCTAGTAATCTTTAGTGTTTTGAACTAATCAAAACACTATTTCTCTAAATTATTGTGTTCGGTAACTTGATATATAGAGTAACTGTCAGAGGTCTATGGAGTGTTTTGTCAGAGGTCTATGGAGTGCTTTCTAAAATGTTATTTGACCATTCACTCTTTTTACTAAATTTTTTTACAACTTTATCCTTAATTAATATAAAATTCTTGTCTTTTATTATCTTTATGAGTGGCTTACTTATAGTTGATAGTAAAAGAAAAAAAAAATTGTTTATATATTTGTATTTAAACTCATACAAATATTAAAAATTAAAAATGTTGATCCCCTAAAATATTAAAAATTTCTCATTTTATTTATAAAATAGTGAACTTTTCTTAACAAAAGAAATTGTATCTAATAATACCAATTGATAATTATACAACATACAGATACAAATATAGAAAAAACTTAAAAATTGTTGATCCCCTTAACAAACAAATATTTACAAATAAGTCTTCTCATTTAAATTATTTTAGTAAACATTAGTGATTTTGTGTTTCCAATAATTTGCTCCCTTTATAATTTTTGAAAATTGTTTTTTATTCGCGCAAAAATCTAATTATATATCATTGCGTGTGAGAATCAATTGTTTTATTTTTATAATGGATTTATATATTTGTATTTAAACTCATACAAATATTAAAAATTAAAAATGTTGATCCCCTAAAATATTAAAAATTTCTCATTTTATTTATAAAATAGTGAACTTTTCAATATTTGCTCCCTTAAATTTTTGAAAATTTTGAAAATTTAGATATGGTGAGATCATTTTTTTATAATGAATTTAATTGAAAATTCTATGTGAATATTTCAATATCATTTTTTGTCATTTTAAATTTATTGTCAACTAAACAGCTATTTTTTATTAACACTTTCTCTTTCAACCACTATTTAAACAGCTAATAGTAAACCATTACTAAAACAGCTAATATTGCTAAACAGACCCTTAGTAGCTATTAGCTGTTTTAATAGCGTTTAACTCTTATCTGTATAGTAACTTTTCATTTTAGTAACTTTTCCTAAAATGTTAAAAGTTAAACATTATATAGATTAACTTTTATAAGTAGTTGTTAGTTCTCTTAGTAGCTTTTATCTGTTACTGTTTTAGTAGCTTTTCATAAAATGCTAAAAATTAAATATTATATGGGTTAACTTTTTATAAAACGTTATTTCAATTTTTAAAGTTATTTCAAATGTTATGCTACCGAACACTATAAAAAATAACATTTAACGTTAAAAACTGAACACTATAAAAAATAACATTTAGCGTTAAAAACCATTTAATAAGCAAGTTGAACACAGTCTTCGAGTGCCGATTTCCGATTTCTATAGATAGAATATTGTACTTCAGCTGTAGAGATGTTTATTGCTTTTTTTTTTTTTTTTTCCTCTTTTCCAATAACAATCTCTGCGGTCACTCTTTAAAGTGATTGTTTAACCCTTTAATTATCCATAAAGGTTAATTCAAAAAAAAGCTTAATATCCTTTTCCGCTCTTAATAAATTTATTATAACAATGAACAAATTATTTAATTAAAAAAATAATATATATATAAATGAATAGATCATTCTCTATTGTGATGGTAACTAGTACTTCTTCAGGGTGATTGTGAGTAGCAGTTATTTTTGGAAAAATTACGATTTTTTCTCTATGTAATTATAAAAATAATTAATGTACCCTCATTTTCAGAAATATACCGCCTTTTTCCTTGTATGTTTCCTCCATTAAACTACTATGCTCTTCCATCCAAGTTTCTGCACTTTTTCCATTAAGTTGACATAAAGTGAAATAAATCAGTATAATTTTGGCCATGTATTAGACTTAACCAACAGTTTCCCTAGTCGAAGGCTTCTCTCAATATATGTAAGATGAACTTTTTAATTGTAGATTTAAAACGAAGGATTTTTTTTTTTGTTTTAAGTCTTATTAAAAATAAATATTTAATTACTTTAATTCAATAGTCCACAATAAAGCAAAGTAGTATGTTTAGTAATTAATTTATGATAATTTGGCCAAAATAAAATTCATGTTTTAGACAATTTATCTGCACATAAATTTCTCAATGAGACAACTTCACTTGGCAACCATTTATAATTCATTCCTTCTATTTAATATATATATATATATATATATGCAACCATTTATTAAATGTCAGTTCCTTCTCACATTATATATAAATTCAATATAATATAGGTGAGTTATTAATAAAGCAACTCTATAAAATTTAAGTGGAGACTGTTTCAGAAAGGGAATCCAAATTTACTCCAAAAATACATAATTAGGTCCCGGAGGGGAGAAGGAGACAGAAAATACACACTTGCGCGCACGAAAAGGTGCCAAAAATTTAGGAAAAACAACTACTCGACTTATTGCTTATATATATATATATATATTAGGATTTCAATGATCAAATTCAAATACATATAGTCCAGAAAGGACAAAATCCCTTCCCCAGAAGGCCAAATATAGAACAATCTACTGACGAGTATGGAGATGAGTAATTCAATACTATTATCTTTTAAGTGAAGTCAAAGTTTTGATCCTTATGGATGGATGAAATACTCTGTAAGCAAAATTTGATCATACCCAATGGATTGAGATACTTGTGATTAATACCAAAAAATATAGAACAAACTTACTTTAATTAAAATAGCACAAAGTTGGTTAATCTTATAAGAAATGCTAATAAAAAATTAAAAAATGAACTTAAAAAAATTGATAGATATTCAAAGTAGTTAGCTAGAAAAACTCTTTAAATAATTTATACGTTATCTAATTATCCGTTATAACCCGATCTAACCAGAGCGACCTACCCAACCCAATTCAACCCGGCAGATTTGAAGATATAATAGGTTGGATTGGACGGATCATCTTTATAATTTACGAGTTGAGTTAGGTTACAAATTCATTAGATAAACCCATAGACCCAACCCAATCCATAAATAAATTATGAATTATTTAGTTGATTTGATTTGATTTGCAATTTTTGAATATAAATACTAAATTATTTACATATTTAGTACATGTTACCTTTACTTTTGGAGTATATTGTAGTTTAAATTAAACACGTTATATAAATATGTTACTAAGTATTTTTAATTTTACTAGTCTTTTTTATTAGGAAATTTAATTTTTCAATATTGATTATGATTATGATGATGATAATGAACATGTTAAGAAATTTAATTTTAATATTGTCATTGAAATATATTTGTAGTTTGTGAAAATTATTGTATAATTAAGATTTTAAGTATATTATTGTATAATTAAGATGTTAAGCTATATTGTAATTTTCTTTTACTAATTTTTCCTTGAAGTAGTTGTAATTTTATGTTAAAAATAATTAGTTATTATCATCTTATTTTGATTCACGGGGTTACGTTGAACTACATATTTACATCCAATTCGTCTTATAACCGCGGGATTTACTCATTTAAAATCGGTTTTTAGTTAGGGTCAAAAAAATTCATTGAACCCGTTTAACATATGGGGTCATGTACTTTAAATCCCACTCAATTTATCTAACCCGACCCACTTACAGTCCTGGTTACCAATTAAGGATGGCGCCCAACGTAGGTCCCTAGCGAGTAGGGTGATTACCTCCACAGGTTGTTATTGTTGACTTTCCCTCACAAGGAGTTGAGGTCGATTAGCAAGGCACCAATTCCATCCTTAGCGGTACTTGGAAATTATAACAACAGTGCAGGAACCGACACCAATTAGATTGAATTAAAAACACTAACAATAGAGGGGATATAAAATTGTATCCCTACTTGGTTTCATTTATAAATGCATAAATCAATTTATAAATACTAATCTGTAACCCACTTTGCTGAATTTGTCACTAATTTAAGTCAACTAAGATTGGGCCATGATTTGTTTTCTTTATCTTGAATATTGTCATTGAAATATATTTGTAGTTTGTGAAAATTATTGTATAATTAAGATTTTAAGTATATTTAATTTTTTTACTAATTTTCTTGAAGAGTTGTATTTTATTTAAAAATAATTTTATTATTATCATTTATTTGATTCACGGGTTTACGTTGAACTCATATCTAATCCAATTCGTTTATAACCCGCGGATTCACTCATTTAATGGGTTTAGTTGGGTCAAAAAATTCATTGACCCGTACATATGGGTCATGTACTTTAAATCACTCAATTTAATCTAACCCGACCCACTTACAGTCCTACCAAAAGGATGGCTATCCCTACTATATACCTCCACAGTTTTATTTAGTCCCATAAGATGAGTCGATTAGCAAGGCACCACCATCCTTACTATTGATATAACAACAGTCAAACGAAAATTAATTAAGAAAAAAAATGGTATTAATTGTATCCACTTGGTTTTTATTATAAATTGCATATCAATTTATAAATACTAATCTTTAACCACTTTGCTTGAATTTTGTCACAATTAAGTCAACTAAGATGGATGATTTTTTGTCTGTTTTTGGAGTAAATGCTGTTGGTGGAATATTATATTATATTATAATTGAAACGGTAAACAAATCCATTTTCTTCTGAAACCGACTCCTTTTGTCTTTTCTTTCCCTTTCTGAATACACCTATATGTGCATAATGTTCAACTACATCCACTCACAACCAAATTATATGCTAAAATATTATATAAGAAAATGACGTGTCCAACGACATTCCAGCCCACTGCCTGCCTGCCTTCTCACAAGCCACTAAAATAAGTTGTTCTAATAATTATTAATTGTTTCGGTAATATTTACCCGTTTGAATATCTAATAGATATTTTAATAGTATTTCATAAGATCTTAAAAAACATCTAAAAGTTAATTCAAACGCTAGATTACCAAATCTTATAACAAATAGAAATACTAAAATCTACCTAAAAATCTATTGTGGAACACAACTTAAATCCGATTCAAACCCAATTGATAAAAATTGATTATTTTATTACTAAGTGAAATTTAGTTATGAACTATAAAAATATACATATTTAATTATTGGTTGGATATTTGAACAACTTTGAAAATGTTAAGTGAAATTAATAATTAATTGGTTAGTTCAATGATAAACGAATAATCAAATTAAATTAATTCAACTTATTATTAATTTGAAAGAGTTAAAAATTACTATTAACGAAATGCTTATCTTACCTTTCAAAAAAAAAAAAAAAGCTTATCCTAACTAAGGCTATATACTTAGTGAACCGTAATAGAATATAATATAATTAAAGAAATCTCTAAATATATAGCCTAAATTGCTTAAGATATTCGAATGGTAGCATGTAGATATCAATAATTTATTACACATCCTCCCTTATAAATAGATACAGTCATGCACAAAAAGTTTGATATATCAAAGTGGATAGAAGTGTGAGTGAAAATGGATAGGCTAACGAAAGCTCAACTATGTACAATCACACTTCTTATTTTGTTTTGTCAATTTGGTGTTAGAAATTGTCAACTTCAAGTTGGGTATTATAGCAGTTCATGTAGTGTTGCTGAGTTCATTGTCAAAGATGCTGTTAGGGATGGTTTTTCTAAGGATAAAGGAGTGCCTGCTGCTCTTCTAAGAATGCACTTTCATGATTGCTTTGTTAGAGTAAGTGGCAAAGAAGATGTCTCTTTTCTTTTTAACTTTTCTGTTACTGTATTTCTTTTCTTTTTCTTGAATGGTATAAGAAAATTTGAAAAAAGAAAGAAGTAAACGCTTATTAATATTCTTTACTATGATTCTGCTAGCTATAAACGAGTAGAGCTATCAATAAGATATTCGAGGCTCAGCTTAGAAAAAGTTCATTCTAATCATTTATAAGTTGAACAAGCCGAGCTTAAATTCAAGTTCAATCCCATAATTTATTTTTTTGTTGCCTTTTTAACTATGAATTATATATAAGCCTAGCTCGAGCTCAACAACCTCACTATTATCTCATGATGATTTGTTGATTTTTTTTTATTTATATTTTTTGATTTGCATATAATTAGTAATTGATAACCTAATCGAAACAAGATCAGAAAAATGCAAACTGAAGTTTTTAGACAGCAAACCAAATTGATATGGGCATTTCAATTGAATGGATTTGAATCAAATCAGTCAATTCGATTGGCTTTAGTCAATGTTTGCCATGTCAGTTCGGTTTCAAACCCAAATAATGAATTTCTATGAAATTGACTCAAGCCAAACATCAACTTTGGTTCAAAATCGATTAACCTGACAAACCGAACCTCCCTTGAATACTCATTTCAGTTCGGTTTTCAGTTCGATTTGGTCTGTGGTTTTGCACAACCTATTAGTATCACATTCCCATTTGAAAATAAAAATATTCAAATTACTTGGATATGTAGTGATTTCACATTTTTAAAACTTCAAATGAAAATCAAAAATTAAAATTATTCTTATTCATAATGAAACAAATATTCCATTGCCATTGTTAAAGTTGGACTTACATTTACTAAATTACTATGCATGTAGGGTTGTGATGGATCAGTTCTTATAGACTCCAGTTCATCAAACACAGCAGAGAAAGACAATCCAGCAAATAATCCAAGTCTGAGAGGATTTGAAGTTATTGATAATGCAAAGTCTAGACTTGAAGCCGTCTGTAAAGGAATTGTTTCCTGTGCTGATATACTTGCATTTGCAGCTAGAGATAGCATTGAACTCGTAAGTCTTTGTGCGACCTTCCAATATGCCTCCAGTATTGTTCTATTCTCGCACTTCATTAAAACGTTTCCTTTTTTCTTTTTAAATATCTTTCACCAAAAATATATATTTTTTTTTATTCTTTTTAAAGCAGTGATTGGCTGTCAGCTTTTCCCATAAATATTTATTCACGTTCTATATATTTGTTCATCAACTTTTTCATTTTTATATTCATATTTTGTAACTACATTTAGTACTATCTTAAAGGCTTATTAAGGAAAATTTAGTGTAACCGACAATTTGTTTGCTGAGGCAGTACGCCGCCTCAAAACCAATGAGGGTAAGGTGTTAGTGTTGATTCCTGGAAAGCACACTTGTAAAAAATATTTACACTCTACTTCGGGATTACACTTCTTGGGAATGAGAGCAATGTTTGGTTTTGATTGAAAAATAAAAATGGATATCATTAATTCGGAAATTTAATTTGGTTGAGTTTGAAAATTGTGAATTTTGATTATTTTGATTTTGTCTTTTTATTGAAAAATAAAAAACCAAACTAGGTCGAAATCGAAATATTTTGTTGTGATTATCCCAATGGTTTGAGCTCAATTAAAATCCAACAATTTTTAGCTAAATTACAAAAGCAGAAATTTTAAATTGAACTAAACCGTACGTTCACTGGTTTTCTTCACAAAAAAATTTGATTAATTCAGTTTTTACTATTTCCAATCCAAACCAAATCCAACCAACTAATGCTATCATACCGAAGTATTTTTCATTATTTTTCGCTTTTTTAATTATTTAATACCACTTGTGACCTTTTAATAATTAGTATATTATTGTTTATCAGAGTGGAGGTCTTGGCTATGACGTTCCTGCAGGAAGAAGAGATGGCAGAATTTCTTTATCCTCAGACGTATCAACAAACTTACCTGCTCCAACATTTAATGTCAATCAGTTGACTCAATTATTTGCTAATAAGGGTTTCTCACAAGCAGAAATGGTTACACTTTCTGGTGCATATACTCTTTTCATTTTCAATCAACTTGCTAAGGTTCCATATAGTGAACGAATAATGCTTAATTTGCCTCCGAACTTAATTGCGATATATAATTTGCTTAAAATTAAGCTTTTAGATCAGTTTTAATAGGAACTATCAACTACAAAATCAATTTGGTTCATTTTTTTTATTGGAATAACTGTAGTAATCATGTGAATAAGTGAAAATGTTTATATGTTTGAACCAGGATTTGACTTGTCTATACTTAAGTCAATAGATTCACTTACGAACCAATAAATAATAATTTCCTTTTTGTTGAAACTAGAGTATTCTGACCATTTACTGGGAAAAGAAATGACGAAAGAACTAATTTTTAAAATTCTCTATTTTGATTACTTTAGTTCGTAGGTGAATCCATTGACTAAGAGAAAATCAAGTCACTATTTTTGTAATTCTCTTGGTTAAATAAGGGGCAAATTGGTCTTTTGATTGAAACATCTTTTAAAAATTGACCCAAATGCTCATTTTAGCTAAATTATAAATGGGGAATAAGTAATTGAGCTAATAATAATGTACTATTGTCTACAGGAGGACATACGATTGGTCGATCACACTGCACTTCCTTCAGTAACAGATTATACAATTTCAACCAAACGAGTAGTAGTGATCCAAGTTTAGATGGCATGTACGCAGCCAAGTTGAAGCAGCAATGCCCGCAGAGCAGCACCGACAATGGCTTGGTAGTACCGATGAATCCTTCAAGTCCAGGCACAATAGATGCAGGATATTACATCGATATCTTAGCAAATAGAGGTTTGTTCATTTCGGACCAGACTCTTTTGACAAACCCAGCAACAGCAACCCAAGTGAGTCAAAATGCTCGGAATCCTTTGCTTTGGCAGACCAAATTTGCTGCAGCCATGGTCAAGATGGGCGGGCTTGATGTTTTGACTGGTAATGCTGGAGAGATAAGAGCAAATTGTAGGGTGATTAATTAACTAGCTAAGTTAATTGAACATCAGGTGAATTGATTAAGTATCTCTCCTCTCTCTATACCAATCCTAATTGCTTTTATGTAGAAACGTAAAATAATTGAAAAGACTGGACGCATGTAAGTTTAACTGTGATCTTAATGCAGTGAAATATATATGGAATCGATCGTCGGGGTGGAAGTGATTGATTGATGAAGATATTTTGGAGTTGAGAGCTAACCTTCAAGTGACTTTCTTTTTTTTTTTTTTTTGGGGTTTTCCCTGAAAGCTAACCTTCAAGTTTGACTTTCGTTTTTTTTTTTTTTTTGGGGTTTTCCCTCGGATAATCTCCATACGATGGTGTTTGGGTATGTGACTACTTTTTTTTTTTTTTTTTGGGGTTTTCCCTCGAGTATCTCCATACGATGTTTGGGTATGTGACTACTAATATGGTTTTGGAGTTGGTAGATACTCCTTCCTATAAGTGTTTTTCCACGTATCTAATCTCCGATATTGTGTATCTGGTAGATTCAAACGTGTTTTACTATTTAAACCACTATTATGAATATTAATTCTACGATTAAAACTTATAAGTAGAGGTATGTGAACTTGCGGGTATGCGAATTTACGAAACATAACTTAAAATTAAATTGACTAATTTCAGTTTGGTTCGGTCAGTTAAATCAAAAGAAGTTCAATTATCGATTATTTGGTTTGAACCAAATTTATAATTTGGTTCAAGTCAAATTTCATAGAAATCCATCATTTGGACGTAAAATTAAACTATAATGGCAAAACTGATCAAAATTGACTGAACTGTATGATTCGATTCGTTTCAAAAGGCAATTTTGATTCGATTTGATCTATTAAAAAAAAACTTCAAGTTTTATCTTTTGATATCAGTTCGGTTTAAACCAAACCTACTATTTACTCACCCCTACTTACAAGTGCAAGTCTAAAAGATTAATGCTAAAGAAATTTGATTGTAAGGAAAGGGCCACATCCGGCCTTTGTCATTGAACATGAATTTATGCAAGAATTACAGCATAATTAAAAAATAACTACAGTTGATAAATATGTATGAAAAGGCTCAAATGGATGAAAAGGATCGATTATTCCAATAGTTAAAATGGATCAATTCTTTCTCTATATAAATTTTACTTTTCTTTTGTCTTTGTTATTTGGGTTTTAAAGTGTAATCTTGATTTGCTGTTATTGTTTTAAGGTTGAAAAGTTCTTATGGGCAGAAACCAGTAGAGAGAAACAGGAGACATGAAATCTCAAGAGATAATCAATTAGTCTACATCTAAGTATTTCTAAGAATTTCTGTAATTTGACACTCCCCTTGCTGAGTACATCATCATCACCTCTCTAAACTGCCATCAACTGTATTAGGCTCTGTAGATTGGTTCTCAAGCTGTTCCTCTCTCCTTTTAGTGATAATAGTGAGTTTGGAATTAGTACTAAGAAGTGCAAATACCGGTTTTGTGAAATGAAGTAAGAAAAAACAGAAGTGATATTTTCTGAAAAACTGCATTGCAATAGAATTATCAAGTTTGACAGAAACAACCAATAATTTAGCCACCTGATGATATGTGACCCAATCTGACTACATTAATTAAATGTTCCAAGAACTCATTAACATAAAACAAGATTAAAAGATAAAAACCATGGAGCCACCAGAACCAAGTTAATTAGTAAGCTCCATTATAGCACTAACAATGTCTCCATTGTGTGTCCTGAGAGCCTTAACTGCCTTGCTCCTTGACACTCCTGCTTGTGTCATAACTAGTTCAATGTCTCGAGGCTCAACTCCAGTCTCATCAACTTCTTCCTCTTCTTCGTCTGCCTGTGAAGCAGCAGCTGCACCAGAAATATCAGACTTTGGAAGCACAGATGCCATGTCTGGCATCCTAAACTGTTGGGCAGCCTGTGTCTGCAGCTGGGAGCTCAAGTCCTCAATCTTAGCTTCTCCAAAAATTACATATGTCTCAGAGTTTGGGCTCTTAAAAACATCTGGTTTTGAGATGAAAAATAGTATCTGATAGGCCAAGAAAATTTGGTAAATTGAGACGTATTATAGAGACAGATGAACAACATGAAAACAACATCAGACAAAAGCTTACATTTTTGGTTCTCTTGATAGTAACCCTGCTAACACCAGTAACAGGTTTCATCCCCAGCTTCAACATTGCCTTGCGACTCTTCTTTTCACTTCTGCTTTGCTTTGAACTTCCATTTGCCCCTGTATCTTACTTTTCAGTAAATAATTTGAACAGAAAAGGACTCTCCAAACAAAAATGACATGCATGAAATGTAAACTGAAGTACAGAAACACATGATGTGACCAAACTCAGAAACACATTTAAAACTAGCCACAAATCAACAGCATGTGTTGCAACAGATAGACATAACACTAAGAAAGCCGCGCGGAAAGTATATGATGAGACATGCATCAAAATATTATTTGCTCATATATATATAGACATAACACTAAGAAAGCCGCGCTGGAATTAAAGTATATCGATGAACCTGGCATCAGAGGAATATTATTTTTGCTATCAACTCCTTCACCTAGTTCAATTACTTGGATTATATATCTTAATGCAATATATATATATTAATAATATATAGATAATTTACAAAGAAGATACTTATTTCAAACGAAATATAGAGAGTAGAAATTACAGAAAAATATACAAATTTCGATGCCCCAATTTAGGCGAAATATTTAGCGATTAGGGCCCCAAATAATATAAAGTCCCTCATTTGTGTAGTAATCAATATAACAAAGAGTAAAATTTGAGTCGACCAGAACCAGGAAGTATTAAAATAGCATTAGAGACCAAGTTAAAAGGTCGTTGAGAATCAGAAATATATAAAGAAACTATTCAAACGAAATATAGAAGAAACAGAAAACAAATTTCGCCAATTAGCAAAACCATTGCCAAAAAAGTTCCATGTAGTAACAAAACAAGTGAAATTATGACAAGACCAGATATAAAATAGCATAAACCAAGTTAAAGGTCGTGAAATCAGATGCAAGAACAAGAATGAGCTCCTGCCATAACTGATAAAAAGGACAAAATATGTGTTTAAAGGCAGCATTAGCTAATAAAATGGTGATACAGTCCTGTCTTTGAAAATGAATATTGAGATGATAACATCCTGACAAAAATTCTTTTGGTACGCATACCTCCAATCATATGGAAATCCAATTCGTACTAAGAGCTTGTTTACATCAATGAATTCCATACAATTTTATGATATTTATTTACAAATCCACATTTTCATGTTTGGTACGAATAAACATTAATATAAAATTCTAGAACTCTAATTCAATGTATTGTAGTTGGTACTTGCTTTTACAAAATTCTATTAAAATTGATAGAATTAGTACACAAACTCTAGTTTTAAAAGGTAAAATCTACTAAAGATAACAAATTTTAAGTGCAAGCTAGTAAAATTAACTATTTTGAACATGGACGAATTCCATAATAAATACAAATATAGAACTTTACAAGTGCATTTTTGTTTTTAAATTATTGCCTATGGATTTATTCCAAATCCAATGCAACACTTTTCAAATATTTCGTAAAATCATCCAATTATAATAAAAACCGTTATAGAAAAAACATCTCCAAGCGTGTTGAACTTGTAGTGGAAAATCATAACTCTAACAAGAATGGATACAAAACCCATTAAACTGAAGTGCAAGAGAAAACCAATATTCACAATAAACGATTTTCCAAAACAAGAGACACAGAGGGGAAAAAATAAGCAAGCTTTATCATAACAATCAATAGAAAAAAAAAAAAGGAAAATCAAATCACCCAAAAAAGGGAAAAGAAAAAACCTGGAGTCCCATCTTCCTTCTCCTCATCATCGTCGTCGTCCTCATCGTCATCGTCCTCGTCGTCTTCCTTTTCATCCTCCTTCAAATCCTCCACTACAGGCTCATCTTCGTGCTAAAGACAGACAATAAAATAAATCATTCACTGCTTATGGAAACATAGAAATTGAAGAATGTAAAGAAGAGAACAATAAAGACCTGAGGCTTCTCCTCATTAGTGGAAGAGATCTTCTCGACTTCTTCAGGCTTGGCGGCCGGAATCTCAGCCTCAACAACGGGACCTGGCGACATGACTGCCTTTGTTAGGGATAATGATAAATCGCAAGTAAGAGGGTTGTTTTTTAGGGATAAAGTCTTGTTTTTGAAGCTTTCTTACGTTGGCTTGGCTTTGTTGTAGGGGTTTCAAAAGGTAAGGGTTTCTCCTAACTGGGCCTTATTTTCCCATTGTAAGCCCACTTCTAGTGTCTGCTATTTTTATGTTTGAAATTTTGGATTATGAACATCGATTGCTTACATTATTTTATCTTTATATTTCACAATAATAACTAGTCTTTTTTTATGCCATGTATTTACATGTTGTTATTGCTCGTCATTTACTCGTTTATACTAGTTTATTTTTGTTATAATATTAAATATTCATTATAATATTTTTCTTATATTGTCTAAATTTTATACTATTGTTAGAATATGATTTATATCGAGAATAAGGTTAATATACTGACAACATATTAATTGTTATAAAATATTAATTTAAGTCTCAATTATATTTATATGTCTACTTAAAAAATTATTTTAAAAAAATACATCCAATCAAATTGTCAAAAAAACACATAGAAATAAAAAACTTAAAAACCTCATTATTTATAATTATTAAATTTTATTAAATTCTTCTAAGAATATTTTTTAGATATCTTTAATAATTTTAACAAACCTATTATTATCTACTCCTACAACCGTATATCTCTATAAAACTCCAAATTGGAGAGCTTCTCTTGTTTAGATAACAAGCTCTTTTTCTCTCTAGTTTAGATCACAAGCTCTCTTTCAGATCATCTTCTTTATTCTTCTCTTTTCTTTCTTTATTCCTTTTCATCGTTTTCTCTTCCTTTTTAAAATGGCGGAAGGAGGTCTGGCTGAGGATGTGTTGGAACAAGTGTATGCTCGCTTGAATTTGGAAGAGGCCCAAGGTAGAGTGGTGGTGCATGGTGGATCGCAGCGGAATACTCCGAATGAACCTACTATAGAGTGGAAGTGTTGTGTCGTTGGTAGATTGTTGGTAGACAAACCACTCCATTTTCCATCTTTTCAGTAAACCATGGCTAGCATTTGGAGGCCAGTGAAGGGTTTGATAATTAAGGAACTTGGGAATGGTGCTTTCTTATTTCAATTCTTTCATGATATAAATAAGGAAAGAGTGTTAAAAGGAGGGCCTTGGACATTCTCAAATAACCTTCTCTTATTAAAGCAATTACACTACAAAAAAAACACCACATTGCGACCGATTTTTGCGACGGAATTAAATCGGTCGCAATTTTGCCACCGATTTGCGACGTATAGGCAAACAATCGCAGATTTTAGCACTGAAAATTTTCGCGAGTTTGGTTTTCAGTTTGCGACCCATGTACTATGGATTTGCGATCGATTTTGCGACTAAGTGTTTTTCTGTCGCAAAATTGCGCGCGTCAAAAATAGGAATAAGTTCTGAGACCGATTGGCGACAAAATTGCGACCGATTTTTTGCGACTTTCTGTCGCAAATTGCGCGTCGCAAAATTGCGCGCGTCAAAAATAGGAATAAGTTCTGAGACCGATTGGCGACAAAATTGCGACCGATTTTTTGCGACCGACATATTGAGTCACAAATCGGTCGTAATTTTATCGCGTAGTAAAACGACGTCGGATAATTAAAAATTGCGACCGATTGGTCGGTCGCAAACTTTAGAGCTTTAAACGCGACGCCCTCTCCTTTTTCTTTCTTCTTCTTTCTTGCTTCTCCTTCTCCTCTCCTCTCCTCCGTCCGCAGTGCCGCTCCAGCCCCTCCTGATAGTGCTCCAGCCCGCCTGACGCCGCCACTGCCGCTCCATTGCAGATCCGGTCACTCCTCAACGCCGTTTGCCAACGTTTGGACATTATTTGAGGTAAGACCAATTTGCATTTTATTTTTTTTGAATTTTTTTTTCTTTTGCGATTTATGTGTTTTTTGCAATTTATTATTATTGTTACTGTTATTATTATTATTATTATTATGTTGTTTTGTTAATTATTATTATTTATTATTGTATTCAAATGTTAACTGTTAGTATTATTATTATTAATTATTATTATTATATTATTATTATTATTATTATCTCTTGTTATTATTTGAAAATAATATTGTTATTGTTGTTGTTGTTATTATTATTATTATTATTTGTTTATTAAATTGGTACTATATTATATTATTATTATTATTATTATTTATTATTGTTGTTGTTGTTAATTTATAATTATTATTATTATTTAATATGTATTGTTATTATAATATTGTTATTGTTATTATTTGAAAAAATAAACTCTCCAATCTCAATTACTAATTTTTAAAGTGTAATACTCCCAAATCCACATCAAATCTGTTTATGTGCCCAATCCTTCATACCTTTTTCTTTTGCTCGAGCTAACGAAACAGAATAACAAGTAATTGTACACAAAACCAAATAATTAAAAAGAAAAGGAAAAAAAAATGTAGTATTTATCTGAAATTATCTAATTAAATATATAATAATCTATCTAGCTACATGCAATACAAGTTCAATGCTCATATATACTAATATAAAAAATTAGTATTACACTTTTTTATTTATGTTTTCCGCGACCAAGGTTCTAAAACTGTCGGTCTCAATAGATTCTGAAACTGTCAGTCTCAATATAAAGATCGCAAATTTCAGTTTCAAATAAGTTAAAATTGAATTTATAAGTTGATGGAACTTTAAATTAACCTAAACGTAATCAAAGTTCTGAAATTGTCGGTCTCAATATAAAGATGGCAAGTTTCAGTTTCAAATAAGTTTAAATTGAAATTATGAGTTGATGGAATTTTAAATTAATCTAAACCTATTTGAAAATTAACAACTTATAAATAATTCGAAATATATATAGATATAATAATCACAAACTTGAGCTTCATGAAAACTATGAAGGATAATAACGAAGCAAAAAAATTCAATTTCTAAAACCGAATTTCTTAAAAATTCAATTTGTAGAACCGAATTTCTTCAATAATTGTTCAGTTTCTGCGTGATAACATCTTATTTAGACCCAATTTACGAGTCTATCTATGAACCAAATTAATGAAAAATGTATATTTTTTTCAGAAATGAGATCTTTCTGACTATTTATTAGGAAAAAGAAGAGTAAAGTTGGAACAATTTATTCATTTATTTTGTACCAAAAGACAATGGACAGGGTAGGTATTGGTGGTTGAGCAATTTAAACATAATCAAAGACTTAATGCAATATTAGGTTGTTATATGTTCTTAATTATTGGCAACTCTTTCTTGAGAAGTTTTGGCTGTGTTTTTCTTCATTTTATATTATTGTCGTTATTATTCTTAAATATGTTTTTTATCATATTGTCGTTATTACTTCTTATACCGTTTTTATTAAACTGAATGAATGAGTTTGGATTGGAGTGCCTCCAGTAGTGGTCAGTTTTTGCCCTTTTGGAGAATTGGTATGAAATATAAAAGGCTTTATTCCGAAGTGTCCCTTTGTATTGAGATTTGATCGTGTTGTGCCCGAAACTGCATGCCCCCCGAATTTTTTTTCCAAAAAAAATTCAATTACTGTGGAAATAGTACAGCTAACCTTTATTATATGTAGATATATTATAATATAGCTATATATATTATACTATAATATATAATATATATAACTTGTGTATTGAAAAATGAATCTTAGTGATTTTACATTTATATATAGTCTACCATTAATTATAGAAATAACCTTTACGTTAGTTATAAGTGTAAATTGAACATTACATTCAGTGGAATGTTTTAAGGGATGGTTTACGAACTAATGCAATTATCCATATAATTTACCCTTTTATAAACACACTGTTTAATTAGGGTAAATAAAAAATGCGAAATAATCGAAGATATGGACTGTACTGAGGATTCGATGGTAATGGGAATTATTAAGACAAGAGTTCCTGTAAGGATTGGGAGGTGTTTATACAGTTGCAATGGTAATGCCTAGTCTTTTGGAATGGTAAATCAAGTTGAGGTGTCCATCGTACAATCAAGCACAGAATTGTCAGAAATCCGAGCCTTCCTTAGACATCGATACCAAGTTGAAACTCATTTGTGCAAAATGGGTTCGGTGGAAAATTATTAACGAATGGATACCATCATGGTGAACTCTCGAGTGTGCCAAGCTGGGTCAGGCCACTCCATTCCGTTAAGTTAGAAGTTTAGCCTTATCAAAATTTCTGTATGGTAATCAATGCAAATGATATGGTAATCGATGCGAGTAGAGTATCAGATGTGATTGGGATAATATAGGGGAATCGCCAAACCGTAGCAGGTCAAACAATACACAATTGTTTGACAATGGCTAAGTGCGCTAACAGTGAACTGTGCCTGGATGTAACGAATCATTCAAGTTCTGGTCTATTGTGGCACGATTATCTACACATGAAAGCGAAGCCCAATTTTTCAAGAAAGTGTTACGATGATTTTGTGCAGTTAGCAAAGGAAATGGTTGCTATGAAGGCCATTCAATGGTTGATCAATTCTTTATCGGACAAAAAATTAATTTGGGGATTGGGAACTAATCGTAGAAAAGATTGATTGTTGTCGGTATATAATTGTATTGATCATTCTGGGGTGTTGACTCGGAATTCAGGGAATCGCAAGTTTTGTTTTAATCTTCCAAGATAATCAATGGCGGGGTCAAGGGCACTGGTAGAGTACAAAGAGAGAAGTTTTTTCAAGAGAATGTATTCATTTTCCCTCCTGGTTCCTCGCTCAAAAGGTTATAGCATCTAAGGCGACAGCTGAACACATGACATGGCACCTGCTTTGCATGAATACTGAGGATGGTAATAATGACCTCATCCGTTAGAACTTCCTGAACATGGAAAACATTTTTGATAACATTCATCCTGTTGTTTGCTGCTGATATGAGAAACATGAGATTTGGCGGCTTTGTACTGATGGGGTCTTCAACCGTTTGCCCAATCAAGACAAAAATATCATCAATGGCCTGTCATTGTCACACTCACCATAATAAATCTACCACCATCAATGTGTTGAATATATGTTTTGTGTGTTATTGTTCCTTGCCCTACCAATCCAAAAGATAAAATTGATGTGTTTCTGGAGCCTTTGATTGCTGAACTTAATTATTTATGGGAA